CCCAGCTCTCAACCTTTCTTCAGTTAAGTGTTTACCCGTTATTTCAAATTCCGTCCTGATTTATTTTTTTCTACGTAACACGGTCCATGGCATTTTGTTCATATGAATCCACCTCAGAATCTGCGTTATTCATGTCCTGCCGCCACACTTTTTTATATCCATCCTCCAAGTGTGACACAGCCACATGAGCCTACGGAGACTGAGCATTGAGAAAGATGTTGTTAAACCTGCTCTTTCCAATGCCTTTTGAATGGTTTCACAAAACTGGAGCCAATAGTCGTTGGCACACTGTCTAGCTACCTTTTGCAAATGATTCATGGCTTCTCTAAATTCACTGAGAATTTTCTTTGTTGTTCTGTATTATTTTATATATATAAAAAAAAGACGTTATTGATAAAATACAACTGCTGTGAGAAAGGTGGGTGTTTGAAAGCGCGGAATGTATTAAGGCGGGCCTGCGTGCCTAATTTGTAACCCTTTGGAGAAAAAAAAAAATGTTTCTTTGTTCGTTCGTCATTGCTTCTTAGGAGTAATAACATTTTCTTTCAATCAAAATTTGGTGCGGATGAGTATTTGCTTCAAACCAGTCCTTATCTCCATGTTCTGTAATCAGTCTAATCACAAAGACGGCCTCAGTCGTTTCATAGTCTCCTTAATCGTATCCTATTTTAAACGTGCTGGAGTTTTCCTGAATTTCGGCAATAGATTCATCAAGCTGTTGTTTGAACTCAAAACACTTTTCAGGGTCTTTAGTTTCAGAAATGTTTAACCTAGTGATCGATTTGTTTCTGACGTGAAAATTCTCTTTGCTTTCAGCCCAACACTTATAGAAAATAGGTAATGGTCAGTGTCACAGTCAGAACTGTGTAACTGTGAGTTAGTAATATGTAATTCAGGGGCTGCCTTCTTGTGATATTGAAGTCAAATTGGTGTCAATGGTCAGATCTTTGATGTTTCCATGAAACTTTATGGCGGTCTTTAGTTTTGAAATAGCAGTCTGTGATGCACATGTCACATCAAGAAGTTCTGGTACAGTAAAACGATAATTTCTGCATAATTATAAATATGTAACTAAAACTGATTTTGAAACAGATGTCTATGTAAATTTTGATGAGCCATCTATATAACAAAAAAATTCAATACTCAGAAAATCACAATCATGATCTACGCATTATGTCAGGGACCATGCCCTCCACCCCCTTTTTGGACATGGAAACAATTACTGGTCTCTACGCTCTGGAAGACAGGAGAGACACAAAGCTCCTCACCCAGCTGTCTAAATATCACCACTTGAAAGAACAACCAATGCACAGCCGACTGCAGAAACCCCATAGAGATACACTGAAGAGAACATGTTTCATTAAGAACACAAATGCCAAGCTCGGTGACCTCAAACTCCGTTCCATCGTACCAAATGTTTCACTGAAACCCTACAACCACTGCCCTCTCTGGCTTAGGGGTGATTTGCCAACAGTCAGAACCAATGTAACAGGGATCTTTTCCAAATCATCTATGAGCAGCACTGATATGATGTCAGTTACAGAAGGAGAGATCAATAGGCTTTATCCACAGCAGAGTTGGGTTAGATTGTATACAAATTATTCAGCCAAGAGAGCAGTAAGAGACAAAGGAGGAGGAATATACATAGAATGCCAAAATGGTTTAAATATCAACCAAGCTATACAAACAGGTTCATATTCCTCCAACTACAGAGCAGAGTCAGGTGCAATTCTGGTGGCATGTTCTTTCCTGAAAGGACAACTGAACAGGAATTATAGCATAGTGGTCTTTCTGACAGATGCTATATGTAAGAAAGTTCGCTCACTGTTAATAATGCTGGCTCGCTAGGAAACATGCAACCTTTGTACAATTTATAACCTCGAACAGCGGTCAGTTTCCAAATACACATTCTGTCAGTTTATTCTTCCAGATTCTCATATTTCAGTTATTCAGTTATCAACATCCCTACTCGTCCACACAATACATCTCCAATGATTATTCACATGAAGTTAAAACATTTTAGTAACTACATCACACCATCACAACTATCTTCTTCAAGCTCTGGTTCCCGACTGACCACGAGTCAGTTGCGGCTTTGCCTAGTTCATATCTCCAGCTCCGACTGTCCCATGTTTTCGTCCCCTGCACGGGTTTTCTGTTCGGTTTGCTGACAGCATGGGCCATCACGCAAAGCACCTCGTCACATATGTCGTTGTAAAACCCAAAAGACAGGCAGTTTCTTGATTGAAAACTAGTAACATTTATTTTTAGCTGCTTTTTTTTAGATAGTAATTTTTTTCCCAACTGTATTTTTACTATATAACTGATTGGGAGTTGGGCGGGGGGGGGGGGGGGGCACCAAGTGAAGATTTTAGGTTTGGCAGAGTTACGATTAAAGAGAAAAGGGACAGAAAGGTTACACAAAGATTTTGTATTGGTCCACTCTGGTAAAGACAAGACTCAACGTGCAAAACATGGAGTAGGTTTCATCACTGACCCTAAGATTGCAAGTAACATTTAAGACATCAGTTACATATCAGTAAGAACTATATGTGTCAAAATACAATGAGACAGAATAACAGAAACCTACATTTAAGTTTACGCACCCTGCAACGGAATTTACAGCTAAGGAGAATCAGACAAATATTTCAACGAACTGAGCGATGTAATTTCTAAAACTGATCCGACAGTTAAACTTTGTATAATGGGAGACTTTGATGGCAAAGTAGGACACAACAGGAGAGTGTTCTCAAGGTTTCTAGAAAACTGCAGATAACAACAGAGAGATAAACGGAATTGGAGAAAGAATACTAGAAATGTGTGCACACTATGACCTTGTAATTACCAATATTTTCTTTCAGCACTGACACTCTCATGTGTTCACTTGGTATCAATGAAAGCAGCCAGAAATAAAAAGCCAGACTGACTATATCCTGATGAGGAAAATAGATTTCTGTAAGCTGATGATAGAGCCATACCGAATTTCAGCATTGACACAAATCTTAAGATGGTGATTGCAGATACACAAGTCAAAGTAACGTCGCACGCTGGGAAGACAAAACGTTATATTGAATTTATAAAAAGGCAATAAATAGACAACACCGACAAAAGAAAAACTTAGCAAGAAATATTAGAATATAAGTATGAAGCACTTCCAGAAGATACACTTGAGGTGAACGAGGATTGAATAAATTAAGAGATGCTCTCAAGAATGTTGCACAAGAAATATGCGGAAAAATGGTGGAAGTCACGATGTAAGATATCAACACGGTTGAATTTAGAATTAAAGGAAATAGATAAAAAAAATAGAAAGCTTACCATTTCTGGTTAAAACACAGAACATCAGAAAACTACACAAGGCATAGGCAAGCCACACATAAAAAAAGCCAACAAAGCAATAAGAACAGTCAAGAAAGATTAATGGGAGAAGTTTGAAGAAATGTTGGCAACAGAAGTAAAAGCACGACAAGAAACTACTACAAGAAACTAATAGGGATAAGAAGAAGCAATGAGGAATATAATCCAACAGAAATACTAAATGATGAAAATGTGCAACCTATTCTAGGCCCTGAAATGATTCTAGAGAGATCGAGTAACTATTTTAAAGAACTCTAAATTTCGAGAATGAAGATGACAGTGCAAGCAACAATACTAACGGATACACTTGAACCAGCAGTTCTATTGACAAAAGTAGAAAATGTAATAAAGATAGCACCAAGGCATAAAGCGACTCTTAATGACGATCTCCTTGCCTGGTTCTATAGTGTAGTTGGCTAAACCTGATTGCGCAGTGACCGGGTGACGAACACCTTGTGGTCCGTTCACTCCCGGGGGTAGGCAGAAAAGCCTAGTTTCTCCCAGATGTAAGGTATTTACAATGGAATCAAGGCTGAAAGCCTGCGATATCAATAATACCGAGCCTAAGGGTTAACAACTCATGGCTTCTGGATACTAAAACAAACAAACAATTGACGGTCTCCCTGCAGAAGCTATCAAAGCAGCTAGAGGAACATGAGCAAAATGGGTCAGACGAATTTTCCAAACTGCCTGGTTAGAACAAGAAACACCAGATGACTGGCAAACAACAATAATTTTACCGATGTGGAAAAATAAAGGGAGTAAGAAAGAGTACATTAATTACAGAGGACTATCACTATTCAGCCACACAGGGAAAATGTATACCAAATTAATTGAAAGAAGATTAAGACCATTAGTAGAAGAACAACTTTCAGAAGTGCTACGTGCGATCTGTCCGAGGCATCGCACGTTTTCCAAGTGTCCAAGGTATTTGTTTATGCTTCGCCCATACAGACAAAACATTCTCTAATCGACAACACACTACAAACACTAGAATCACAATTTCAATACCGATATATTAGAAGTCATTTCTGTAATAGTGCATCGGTCTCTTTATTATCGACGAAACCCGCTACGACGAAAATGAGTGGTGGTCGATGACACACTGTCAAGTCTTCTACTGCCTTTCCAAATATTCACCTCGGCAGTCACTCCAGACCTGGACGAAACACCCCAGCGAACTAGGTCCCAGGTGCCTGTTACGGGCAATTCACACTCGACCGCCCAGATACACCTATGTAATGTACAGTGGCAATCCCCTGACGGTGCTGCCTAAAAGTCACTGTCAACAAGGACTCAAGATAGATGCACCGCTTGGTGAAATTGTCAGGCCTTATGTCTGCTATCCCAGCCACTCATTGAAGTATCACTGATCAACATCGCGCTAACCAGCCTTTGATACCCCCCTCCCCCCACTCCGTCACACTCCACCTTAGTTAACACACATAAGGTTCCCGACAACCTCTGTGCCCCCTACAGATACCCTGTCAACTACGTGCCCCATAGCCGCACACTGCCAACCCGCACAACCATCCATTCTGGAAATTACACAGACAGAATTCCTAAATCTATCTCACGATCCACCAAACTCATTGGATGATTCACGTGAAATCCAACAGAATAGAAACGCCTTGTTTCAACACGCCGGACAGGAATAACTCATATCACAGATAAGTCCGCACACAAAGACTGACCGAGCAGCACTGACGTGGACAGACACGCGTGCACCTTGAGCGGCCCCTGTCGCGCTTGTGTCTAGCCACGACCGGCTCTTATGAGAGATGAAACAAATATGGATGACAGAAGGAACCTCCTTAGCGGGAAAACAGAATTACATAATAACTGACGAAACAAAAAGGTTACATGTCGGAAAGCTGATATGTTTTCTTGGTATAATCAGAATATTGTTTGAAGTTTAACCAATCGATGAACATTATGGCTCACGGATAGTAACCCATAGGTGCTCCGTTCTTCTTCTAACTCAAGTCTAAGTCCGAAGAGCTTCAGCACAGTGCCTAGGCTCTGTAGCACCGGCGAGCATCCTCTGAATCCACCAAGTAGATCACGACTCACACAAGAAACCAGTCACTAGGCCCGTCCACTTGCACACTAAAAGTTAGAAACCGAACCAGGAACCTCCACATACAAATCTCTGGCACCAATAAAATTGGGTGAAATGGGAGTAAAGAATCTAGAAGCATAACCACATAGCCTTCTCATGGGAACAATCAGTACAGATACACTAGAGAGGCTGCTGCATCGGAGGACTTAGCCCGCATGGAAATGCTCAATGTGCAGTGACGGTGACTGATAAAACAAAACATTGCCCAGGGCAAAGTCCTTAAATACTTTGACATGACAACAAAGTTTGAATCGGGTTGATTTGTTAAACGTCAGCAACCTGAATCAACCTGTCTTATGTGACAGATGATGGTCACGACCGGCTCCAGCTGACGGGCCGTGATGCGACGTCAACGAGTCGATCAAACGATGCGTTAACGCAGCGGTTCTCAAACTGGGTGCCAAGGCACCCTGGGGTGCCTGGAGCGTATGCCAGCAGGGCCGCGCAATAATCAAGAAAAAGCGGCTCAAAATTGTAAAATTATTATAGAAGGCCTGTGGATAGTTAAAATTTAAGTTGTCTTCCCTCGCCCCTGTCAAAAATAGTAACCTTCTTCTTGCAGCTATACCGCTGCGTTAACACATCGTTAGCCCTACCCGGTGACGTAAGTAGCACGTTCTGTCAACTGGAGCCGGTCGTGGTCTAACAATCCCTGTGGAACCGCTGTCACCCGTTAATTTCAAGAAACACTCGTCTCACGCTTCAAGTAGTGTGGACTTTTTGCACACCAGAGGTGAGATGTCTTAAGAGAGCTGTCTGTGTGACAAAAAGAGATAAAATCAGAAATGAAGAAATTATAAGAAGACTAGGGCTAAAACAAGTCATACCGTTCATTAAAGAACAACAAATAAAATGGTTTGGCGTCCTGACGAAAATTCCTTGGTACCAACTGGTACAGAGAGCCACGTGAAGAAATATAATGAACACAGGGCAAGGGAAAAGTCCACGCAAGAGATGGAGCGACACCATCAGGAGCAACCTTAAAGAAATGAACACCAACTTGTACAGTTCATAGGAAAAAGTGCACAAACGAAACCTACATCTTCTCCCCTAATAACTCGCTGCGGTAAATGGTGGAAGAGAAGAAGGAGAAGTGTTCTTACAGTCTGTAGATAAGTTTTTTCCAACATTATCAATGTTATCTTCATAACCAAGTAATCTTGTGAATTCTTTTATAGTACACTCGTGTTTCAATTTCCTTATAAATTTTTTCAAGGGCTAGGTTGAAAATAAATGGTGAGAGAGCATCGCCTTGCTTTACTTTCCCACAAATTGTTCTTGGTGGCAAATCCTGTCCCTGGTTCATGTTTGTTTTTAGTATTTCTTTCAAACACTAAGCTCCGAAATCGAGTCTTAGATATCTGTTTCATGACGAAATGATATGTTAGGAAGTTTGGGGTGTCGGCCAAACGCTTCAACCCCCAACCGGAAGAACCAGGATGGCTCTCTTTGTCTGTTCTCTAACCTATCATCGTTTTTTATTCAACAGTTTTAAAACACACACAAATTCCTCAACTTCATTGATGTTTGGTATGCGCATATTAGAAGTCCGTTCAAATCGGTCCGTTTGGTTTCCCCCCAAAAATTATATCATTAAATGTTAGTGAACTTTTGAACAGGCTATACTTAGCTACCATATATTTTCTCGGCACACTGTCACACCAAAGCTACATTAATTCCGCACAGTTTATGATAAAAATCGAACTAAAATGCTGCGTACAGTAATCTTCATAATGCCGTCTCACCCCTTTATCCCAACGCGGCACATAGAGATGTCATGATACAATCATCAGTCAACGGCAACATTCACAGTTCTCTGTATTCATGCATGTATTGTCTGTCTTCCTCTTCTTCTTCTTCTCGGATGCTCTCAACCGTTACCTAAATGATTACATGTAAGAGTGAACCTGTAATGTGGCAAGCCTTGGCCAGGCATGTTTGGTATTTTACACAATAAAAGAAAAGTAAAGGACATACTTCCACGCCTTCAGGCTTATTCTGCATATAGGGTTGGATCTATATTTTATAGACAATGTGGTTCATATATGGTCAACGTCACCCCGGCAGCCTTTACCTCCCAGGACTAACCTGGTACCCACTCAACGCTGGGGTCAGCCTGCAAGCTACACTACGGCACAATGAAAGATAATTACAACTGAAACGTACTGCCCGTTCCCCTCAAATATTACCTTCTATTTTCATTTCAGTAATGAAAATAATAAGAATGAAATCAGCACTTACCGAGAAGGAATTCATTGTAAAGCGACTAAAAAACACATACACAACTAGAAATAAGCAGACAAGTCAACTGGGAATGCACAAAATTTGCTCATGTCTAAGACCCCAGTTTCTGCCGAAAATATCTCAAAAGAAGGTTATAATCACGAAAGAACCTTGTGGGTTCCGGATCCCATTGTAGTGAAAAAAGAACAGACCCTCAGCCTCTCCTGCAAGAATGTGGCAGGAGTCGACTAATTGGTGGCGCCCTTCGAAGTCAGAGTGCATCTGCCTGAGAGGCAGGCAACCAACAATCTGCAAACAAATAAACCAGATTTGTTAAATAGATGTGCACGAAACATTCAGGTTCAGGAAGTAGACGAAGACCCAGAACTTTCCACAAAAGTTTACAACTGATGAACGGGAAAAAAAAAAGAAAAAAAAAAGATACTCACGGATGTAAGCAGCAAGCAGCAAATTGACGCGTTCAGGATCGTGTTCGCTGAGCAACTGTCCAGGCCGTAATTATAAAGGGTAGATATAGACAAACGGCGGGGACATTACAGATTCATGTTTTCTGTGAACATCGTCTTTTCTTTCACGGCTTGTTACGCATCAGGGAACTCACCAACAATCAAATTAGGATTACAGAAATATACGACTGTTTTCTGTCATCGCTTGTGGATTGTGTGCACAAAAGACCCCGTGATTTATGTCAGTCCCACATGTTGCCGTCGACCACAGCCTTGCTTTCTATAACAGCTACCGATCCCTCTCTGTGTGCCGACTTACTGCGTCTTACAAATCTACATCTGTGATGTGATAGAGCGGAATTTGCGTGGGCAAAAGTTACAGAATAGAAGTAGACCAATATTGCAGTTTGCAACGCGACAGCGGACAAGATTGCCAGAGGTCTAGAAGAAAGATTAAAACGATAATGAAAAGACAAAATAGAGAAAACAGAAAACAAATTGTCGAAAGAATTATGATGCTCACACCCGAGCTGCAAATGTCAGACATACAGAGTAGGCAACGAGAACAGGAAGATCTGTTATGTAAAGAGAAAGTTTGGTTATTCAAAGCAAGAGTATCTTCTTCTCAAGACAGAGTGCACAACCACTACTTTATTTGTAATACCAAACTTCAAACTAAAGACATTTAAGAAAAACAAAGGAGCGCGACAACTAATTAGGCAACAAACATTTCTTCTGACGGATATAAAGATATTGTTCCGACCAATGGACATATCATCATAACATTACTCGCCAGCTAGTACATGAATCTAGCCTTACAAAATGACTACTAGGTAATGTTCAAGGACAGTGTTTCCAACACTTTTCTTAGTCGCTGCGCATTTGTTTGCGGCACCCTAACCTAGGAAAAAGTATGACTATTCGTATGTAAGAGATTTAAAAAAAAAGCGGGTGTACCTTCGAATGTTTCGCGGCGCCCCCGTGAAGAGGTCGAGGCTCCCCGGGGCGCCGTGACTCAGAGTTTGGGAATCAATGTCCTATGATGTAAATGGACCGTCGTGATATTTACCCCATCGCAAGGAGCCCATGTAATTTCTAGTCTCTTATCACATTCTGATGAACCGATACGTGAAAAGTATTATTAGCTTTGTTTCATTTTTGTATTATTATTATTATTATTATTATTATTATTATTATTATTATTATTATTATTATTATTATTATTATTATTATTATTACATAAGTGTTGAACTTCACTGCAACTAATTAACATAAAATTGTAACAACCGAGATGATTTATCTTCAGAGAGAAAGCGGATTAACAGAGGTGGCAAAGTTTTAAAAAAATGAATTTAGAAGAATACTAAGGTTGAAGCCGGTCTTACAAATCATTAAAGAGCAACTGATGCAATGATTTGGCCATCTGACAAGAATGCCCAGACACAGCGACCACACAGAGGAAATATAATGAACAATGAACAAAGAAGAGACCACACAAAAGCTATAACAACGGAATAAAGAACACCTTTAACGAAAAGGGAGACAAAATTGCAAAGAATATCTGACAAGGCGTTTAGAGTAACCGTCTGCCCCTTACACTTCGCTGTGATAACAAGAGGGCGAGAAAACAACGAGGAAGATCTGTCGAGAAAAGTCCAGGCTATGATTGTTCTCATCAATGGAGCAGTCCATTTAGCCATGAGTTAGTTGCTGTGGTATTGATTTGCAGTTTGCAGTGTACATAAACCAGCTCTATCAGCTTTAGAATATAATAGCACTACCAAACTACAGTCCACAACGTCTTATAGAATGTTTTTTTTTAAACAGATACCAGCGAAATACTTTCACCCAAGTCACATAATGTAGTAAGTAAGTTTTACCCCACCGAAAAATCACACAGAGCAATAAACATCCGGTGACACAAAGTGCCACAATGCGGATGAGGATCACCTGTGGAGAGGTCCCTGAAACCCCGGTCAACCGTTGGGTTATATTGCG